TACAATATAGTTAACCCAAATATAAATAATATAATGAATAAATAATTTTTAAAAAGTGGCATTTTTGTAAAGTGGCACTTGAAAAGTGATATTTTTTAAAATTTCTCTAAATTTAAACTAAACATTAAGCAATAAATAAACATAGAGTAAAGAAATGAAAATTAATATGCTTTAAGAAGACCAAAAATTCCGTCAAACATAGAAAATCATGTGTCTTTTATTAACATCTATAAGTTAAAATCATGTAATTAGTTTTTTTGATTATTACAAATAAGTTATAGATCTGATTTATTTATGATATATTTGTAATTTTTAATGTAAATAAAGTTAGTTTTCAAATTTTTCAAAAAACATAGGTTACTTTTCAAAATACATCAAATTATTAGAATATTTTTACAAATTTTCTCAATTAATTATCCAATGATAACACAATTTGATTTTTAAAAAAAAATTATATATCTAATAATCTTAATTGCCAATTAAGTTAGTTTTCAAATTTTTAGAAACATGGGTTAGTTTTCAAAATACACAAAATTTTTGTAATATTTTTACAAATATCCTCTATAAGAAACGACAACTATTTATTTATATATAAGTTTCTGCCCCTCAGTTTTAGACTTATTTTCTGAACTAAAAACAAATGCAAAGCCTGACTCAGCAGTAGGCAGCACAGAGCCGACTATTTAGTGTGATCATATTATATAAGTAGTTAATTGGTAGCTCATGAAGTGGAAATAAAATTCAAACAAATACGGATCCGCGTCATTTTTTAAATATAACTATGTCTTACTATATATACCTTCAAATATAACATCGCAAAAATTAGTTAACATCGCTACAATTTTGTTTTTTTATAAAACGGACTGCCACATAACATAACATACAATATTATTGGAATAAAAAAAAACTTTAAATTCATATCATAATTCACAAAAAAAAATCGAATATTCCAAACTCAAACTTTATATATATATATGGCCTTTTATAACTCAACACTCGTATAATATTGGATTTTTCATTTTTGTAAATTATTTGACTTATTATTTGATCTATTATTGGAGAATTAATACTTTGACGGAAATGCTTACCCACTAAACATCAAATTAAGTAAGATGAATGGAGACAAAATATCGTATAGTGCAAACATTTCTGAAATGTTGGTCTTCTGTCTTGTTTTGTGTTGCCGGTTTGAGACAGGAATTAGATGGCCTCCACTAAACCTTGTTTTATGAAACTTATCTTAAACCCACTTACGATCAATTATTAGCCATATTAATAGAGAAATTTCAAAAAATGTCAATTTTTAAAGGGGTAATTACAAAAATGTCATTTTTAATGCACATTTGCAAGAATACCACTTAGGGGTGTCCATTTACAAAATGCCACTAATTATAGATTTATAAAATCTATATCTTAAAATTCTAAATCCTAAAAAATGTTTTGACACCTAAAACCTCCTAAACACTCAAAACTAAACTCTAATAGAACATAATTAACCCAAACATAAATAATATAAAAAAAAAATAATTTTGAAAAAGTGGCATTTTTGTAAAGATTTCGAAAGTGTGACATTTTTGTAAAGTGGCACTTGAAAAGTGATATTTTTGAAATTTCTCATTTTTAAATGTCACTTTATAAAAATGCCATCTTTTTATAATCTTTACAAAAATACCACTTTTTCAAAATTATTTATTCATTATATTATTTATGTTTGGGTTATCTATGTTGTATTAGGATTTAGTTTTGAGGGTTTAAGGGGTTTTAGAGGTCAAAAGAATTTTTAGGGTTTAGAATTTTAAGAGTTAAGCTCTAAAAAATTATAATT